AATTGTTGACATTTTTGCAGATTTATTAAAGAAAAACTGAAATATCACATGGTCCTAAGTATTCAGACCCTGATTTTAGCAAATGGCTGCAATATAACAGAGTGAAAAATTTAAGGGGGTCTGAATACTTTCCGTACCCACTGTATATAATAAGGTTCCTACAGAAACAGAGATGTCAAAATAGCACAATGAAACTGTAAATTGTTATGCATCGGCTGTGTTATTAATTCTGAGCTTGATGCCTGATTACTGACCCTTCTCTGGCATCTCAAGGGTTAAACCGCAGCCATAATCCATAAAGCCTTGTTGGAGATTATGAATCGGTGGATAAATCAGCTTCCCATTCAATATCTCTGCTTGACTTTGATCTGTTAATGGTTTCCGTCCTCAACACGGGCCTGAAATCCTGCACAAAAATTCAAAAGCTGACGTCATAATACAAAATAATTTAAAAGAATAAGAAAACGTAACAATGAAATGATAAAATCAAGTCACTTTTAATGCAAAGTTTTCTATATTTGACAGACTTCGGCACTCTGTAACTGGCAGATTCGTTGAAAGCACACACGCGCTAAAATAGGAGGATATGAATATCAGACTGACTGAATGCGAAAGCCTGATATCAGACAGAAGGCCCCTGGGGTCACTTCCGTATGGAAACAAAGCAGCTCATTCAGATCGATGCACAACACTATGAATGAGACTCTCTCTCGCTGCATAACCCATAGGAACTGACTGCAGGTGTCCCCAAGAGTCACAGCAAATATAGAAATATACATTTTTGTCTTCCATAGTAGAAACTGTAAAGTCTTTGAATAAAGAAGAAAAGACTCAAAATGATCCATTCATAAGTATCTGCTGTTATCTACACGTGCCGCTAAATTAAGAGAATGAGGCCCTCTGGTGGAATACTCTTGAAATGACAAAGAACGATACTTACATCAGGGGTTTCAAATAATGTGATCATCCTCTTGCTAGGAAACTTTTCCCAAAATATAAAGCCTCCTGTATATTTTCATGCATAAAGGCCAAATTATACTGAGAGGCAAAAACATCAAGCATTATATTATACATGTAGTTTTTGAATAAATAATTGCATTTTATTTCACCACTGTACTAAAGACAAAACAAATTATTAAAAATTGTTCTGGAAATGTACATAAGTTGAGAGCATATCTAATACATGTTTGTTAACTCAATATTAGAGAACTGCTGGATGCATAAACATTTTCAATTCAATCTGAATTTATATTTATATACCGCTTTGTACAGCATGTCCTTGACATTCGGTTTTTAACTAAATTAAAATTTACTTCACCTTTTAATGTCTTACTGTTACAAATGCTGTCAGCTGAATTATCATAAATTCGGACAAGTCAAATTCATCACATTAAATCATAATTAATTGCAAGTTACCACATCAAAATAAAATACATAATACAAATTTTTTTTTTTTTGTCCTTCCTAAATTTTTCATGGACTAAAGGTTTGAAAACCCCTGCATTACATCATGGATCAAGAATGATTCTGATTGTCACAAAAAAAAAAAAAAAAAAAAAAAAAAAGAGCAGAATTGTCTGTATATAAGAAAAAAGAAACCTTTATTTTACGCACCCTTCATAAAAATCTTACTTTACAGCGTTTCAAAAACTGAACTCGTGGTTAAACAGATCAAAAGAGCAAGATAGGATTTACAATACAGAGATGCACTCAGAAACACCTCTAGCTTGCATCCTCTATTTATAAATAATTTCAGACTTTTATGTATATTTTACAGCTTATTTTGTACAGATCTCCAGGGGTAGAGGTAAAAAAAAATCAGCTTTAAACATTTTAATTCAAATCATTCAGGAATGAAAAACAAAACGGTGCACTGAAATAAAAACTAGTCAAATGTTAACTGCATTGATTCATCTCCTAGGCAGAATTACAATATAGGTAAACCGTATAAAGGCCGATCAGTGAAATGTCCTCTGGTCGGATGTCTACTGTAGGCTGGGAATAATACACACAACAGCAAAAATGCACACAGATGCACTGCGGATTGCTGTGCCATTAGTTGCACTTTATCATGCGTAACACAATTCAGTCACATGAAAGCAGGTGTGATTACCAACAGGACAAAAAAAGACCAGAGTGCAACTTCCGTTGCATAAAAATACTCACGTGATGAGAATCCTGGAAAAAAAAAAGATGTAAAACCACACATTATGAAAGATAGTGTGCTTGCTTTGGGGTAAAAATTAAATACAGTATATATAAATAAATAAAAAACAGACTATTTTTAAAGGTTGAATGATTTTGGTTTAAAATTGACTTCAAACTACTTTAAGTTTGAACGTACAACCCCAAATTTAGCACAACAAAGGCAGTTCAGAACACAGAAACAGGAAGCCCGTTCTTGCCACAGAACAAAAAAATTAATACGTAACTGTGACTTTATCTCACAATTCAGCCTTTTTTTCCATCAGAATTGAGAGACTAACTCAGAATTCTAATGTTCTTCCTTGCAATTCCAAGTTTACATCTCGGAATTCATTTTCACTCTAAATTCTGAGTTTACATCTCACAATTCTGTTTTACTGTTTCCGCCACAATTCTATTTTCTTGCAATAGCGAGTTTATATTCCACAATTCGGACTTCTCCGAATTTTGTGTTCATATCTTGCAATTACAAGAAAAATCATCTGAATTATGATATATGCACAACAAAAAGTTGTAATTACTTTTTTTTTTTTTATCCCATGGCGGAAACAAGCTTCTATGCATTTCATCGTACTACAGTAACCTTACAATAAACTACAATAAGGGCACCTGGTTGGTTTAAGGTTTAAATTGGTCCATAAAATGATTGAGAGGTAGTTTAAATGAGAACTTTAAATGAGAACTGAATGTATTTATGTCCTAATCCCAACTGGAGAGCAACGGAAAGAAGGGATTTTGGAAAAACTCAGTGTTTCGCAAGTCCTTTTTTGAAGGTTGTGTCACTAACTTCTAAAAAGAAAACAAAAAAAAGAAGCACCATTTTAGATGTTGATTCATCATGAGGTCAGAAACAGCTCTGACTGCACTATAAGAACTGGTGGAAGTGTCTCTCGAACTACTTGCAGATGTTCAAAAACTTTCTCAGTGTAAATTCTCCATTCAACCCTCCACAGGCTGTGCGCATTTCGGACACTGTTCCTCATCCTTGGGAATGAGCAAATCGCACAGAGCCGCTCGCACGCTCATCCTGGGCTCCCACGGCGAACCCACGTGGAAGTTCTGGTAGCCCTGACACACTCCCAGCCCCTCCAAGTCCAGCAAGAGCGACACCACGTCATCGACCGTCTCGAGGCAGGTGGGGTGGCGCGAGTAGACTGCATGCATCAGCAGCAGAGGCTGGTTCTGAACGCTTACCTGGTAGAAGAAGCCCTTCTCGATCTGGACCACCGTGTCAGCCATGGTGGAGAGTTTGGAGCACTGCAGGAGCTGGAGGACGGGGCCTTTGGCCATGACGCCCACCCAGTGAGCGGGCAGCACTGTCTGGCCTAGGGAAGTGAACAGCTCCATCAGGCCTTGGTCTCGGTCGCAGTCGTTCTCTCCTCCCGCCAGACTGAAGATCTGAGTGATCTACGAAAGCAGACATGACATTTGCATGGTGTGACATGGTTGGTAGCTGTTGACTGCGCTGAAGGCATCATAATCAATAAGGGTTCGATTGTTTGTTTTTTTTAAGTATACAACGGACGATTTAGACCAGGGGTTTCAAACTAAGTTCCTGGAGGGCCGGAGCCCTGCAGAGTTTAGATTCAACCCTAATTAAACACACCTGATCCAACTAATCAAGTCCTTCAGGCTTATTTGAAAATGGCATGTTTTGTGTGTTGGGCTCCGGCCCTCCAGGAACTGAGTTTGACACCCCTGATTTAGACACTGTTGGGCACTTAAAAAAATGTCTGAATTTCACTGTATACGATAACAAAAAATATCAAACCATAAAACCAAAAGAATATTAAAAAAATATCAAGAAAGAAAATATGAACGGGTGATTTTTAGTGGATGTATGAGGTGAGTTCTCAAGTTTACAAAGGTATAAGAATAACCAAAGGTGTAAAAAAAAAAAAATCACATCAACTATGAAGTCCTGGGCTCCCACGGCGAACCCACGTGGAAGTTCTGGTAGCCCTGACACACTCCCAGCCCCTCCAAGTCCAGCAAGAGCGACACCACGTCATCGACCGTCTCGAGGCAGGTGGGGTGGCGCGAGTAGACTGCATGCATCAGCAGCAGAGGCTGGTTCTGAACGCTTACCTGGTAGAAGAAGCCCTTCTCGATCTGGACCACCGTGTCAGCCATGGTGGAGAGTTTGGAGCACTGCAGGAGCTGGAGGACGGGGCCTTTGGCCATGACGCCCACCCAGTGAGCGGGCAGCACTGTCTGGCCTAGGGAAGTGAACAGCTCCATCAGGCCTTGGTCTCGGTCGCAGTCGTTCTCTCCTCCCGCCAGACTGAAGATCTGAGTGATCTACGAAAGCAGACATGACATTTGCATGGTGTGACATGGTTGGTAGCTGTTGACTGCGCTGAAGGCATCATAATCAATAAGGGTTCGATTGTTTGTTTTTTTTAAGTATACAACGGACGATTTAGACCAGGGGTTTCAAACTAAGTTCCTGGAGGGCCGGAGCCCTGCAGAGTTTAGATTCAACCCTAATTAAACACACCTGATCCAACTAATCAAGTCCTTCAGGCTTATTTGAAAATGGCATGTTTTGTGTGTTGGGCTCCGGCCCTCCAGGAACTGAGTTTGACACCCCTGATTTAGACACTTTTGGGCACTTAAAAAAATGTCTGAATTTCACTGTATACGATAACAAAAAATATCAAACCATAAAACCAAAAGAATATAAAAAAAATATCAAGAAAGAAAATATGAACGGGTGATTTTTAGTGGATGTATGAGGTGAGTTCTCAAGTTTACAAAGGTATAAGAATAACCAAAGGTGTTTATGTATATTTTACAGCTTATTTTGTACAGATCTCCAGGGGTAGAGGTTAAAAAAAATCAGCTTTAAACATTTTAATTCAAATCATTCAGGAATGAAAAACAAAACGGTGCACTGAAATAAAAACTAGTCAAATGTTAACTGCATTGATTCATCTCCTAGGCAGAATTACAATATAGGTAAACCGTATAAAGGCCGATCAGTGAAATGTCCTCTGGTCGGATGTCTACTGTAGGCTGGGAATAATACACACAACAGCAAAAATGCACACAGATGCACTGCGGATTGCTGTGCCATTAGTTGCACTTTATCATGCGTAACACAATTCAGTCACATGAAAGCAGGTGTGATTACCAACAGGACAAAAAAAGACCAGAGTGCAACTTCCGTTGCATAAAAATACTCACGTGATGAGAATCCTGGAAAAAAAAAAGATGTAAAACCACACATTATGAAAGATAGTGTGCTTGCTTTGGGGTAAAAATTAAATACAGTATATATAAATAAATAAAAAACAGACTATTTTTAAAGGTTGAATGATTTTGGTTTAAAATTGACTTCAAACTACTTTAAGTTTGAACGTACAACCCCAAATTTAGCACAACAAAGGCAGTTCAGAACACAGAAACAGGAAGCCCGTTCTTGCCACAGAACAAAAAAATTAATACGTAACTGTGACTTTATCTCACAATTCAGCCTTTTTTTCCATCAGAATTGAGAGACTAACTCAGAATTCTAATGTTCTTCCTTGCAATTCCAAGTTTACATCTCGGAATTCATTTTCACTCTAAATTCTGAGTTTACATCTCACAATTCTGTTTTACTGTTTCCGCCACAATTCTATTTTCTTGCAATAGCGAGTTTATATTCCACAATTCGGACTTCTCCGAATTTTGAGTTCATATCTTGCAATTACAAGAAAAATCATCTGAATTATGATATATGCACAACAAAAAGTTGTAATTACTTTTTTTTTTTTTATCCCATGGCGGAAACAAGCTTCTATGCATTTCATCGTACTACAGTAACCTTACAATAAACTACAATAAGGGCACCTGGTTGGTTTAAGGTTTAAATTGGTCCATAAAATGATTGAGAGGTAGTTTAAATGAGAACTTTAAATGAGAACTGAATGTATTTATGTCCTAATCCCAACTGGAGAGCAACGGAAAGAAGGGATTTTGGAAAAACTCAGTGTTTCGCAAGTCCTTTTTTGAAGGTTGTGTCACTAACTTCTAAAAAGAAAACAAAAAAAAGAAGCACCATTTTAGATGTTGATTCATCATGAGGTCAGAAACAGCTCTGACTGCACTATAAGAACTGGTGGAAGTGTCTCTCGAACTACTTGCAGATGTTCAAAAACTTTCTCAGTGTAAATTCTCCATTCAACCCTCCACAGGCTGTGCGCATTTCGGACACTGTTCCTCATCCTTGGGAATGAGCAAATCGCACAGAGCCGCTCGCACGCTCATCCTGGGCTCCCACGGCGAACCCACGTGGAAGTTCTGGTAGCCCTGACACACTCCCAGCCCCTCCAAGTCCAGCAAGAGCGACACCACGTCATCGACCGTCTCGAGGCAGGTGGGGTGGCGCGAGTAGACTGCATGCATCAGCAGCAGAGGCTGGTTCTGAACGCTTACCTGGTAGAAGAAGCCCTTCTCGATCTGGACCACCGTGTCAGCCATGGTGGAGAGTTTGGAGCACTGCAGGAGCTGGAGGACGGGGCCTTTGGCCATGACGCCCACCCAGTGAGCGGGCAGCACTGTCTGGCCTAGGGAAGTGAACAGCTCCATCAGGCCTTGGTCTCGGTCGCAGTCGTTCTCTCCTCCCGCCAGACTGAAGATCTGAGTGATCTACGAAAGCAGACATGACATTTGCATGGTGTGACATGGTTGGTAGCTGTTGACTGCGCTGAAGGCATCATAATCAATAAGGGTTCGATTGTTTGTTTTTTTTAAGTATACAACGGACGATTTAGACCAGGGGTTTCAAACTAAGTTCCTGGAGGGCCGGAGCCCTGCAGAGTTTAGATTCAACCCTAATTAAACACACCTGATCCAACTAATCAAGTCCTTCAGGCTTATTTGAAAATGGCATGTTTTGTGTGTTGGGCTCCGGCCCTCCAGGAACTGAGTTTGACACCCCTGATTTAGACACTGTTGGGCACTTAAAAAAATGTCTGAATTTCACTGTATACGATAACAAAAAATATCAAACCATAAAACCAAAAGAATATTAAAAAAATATCAAGAAAGAAAATATGAACGGGTGATTTTTAGTGGATGTATGAGGTGAGTTCTCAAGTTTACAAAGGTATAAGAATAACCAAAGGTGTAAAAAAAAAAAAAAATCACATCAACTATGAAGATGATCCACTAATAAACAGGGGTGCACATACATTTTTTCTCATAAGAGAACCTGGTGATTTGGTTTGGTCCTCACACTGCACATAGAGTGACATATGCTGTGTCCCAATGTGCCTACTTATACTACGCCCTTAAAGTATGTACTTTGACAGGCCAGAGAGAGTGTACTTTTTCTTCACCAATCATCTTGTCACAGTTAACATGCTCCACATTTCATTTAATTTAACTTCACTTCCAACCGTACTGGAGAGAAAAGAAGTAGCTTGTTGATCTGCCAGTCCTCCGGCCCTCCGGTTGATCTGCAAACTTTCACTTGTCCTCCCATACAGCAAAACGCTTAATGTGGCATAATAACGGATGATAAAGACAATTCAGTAGCCTATATGTCTTGTTGTTGACTCAAAGTATGTACAGAACAGCAAATATGAACGTGCATTATGAAATGCATTAAGTGATTTTAAAAGGATCAACTCCGTACAGACAAGCAGACGAGCCCAGAACGCAATGCGTTAAATTGCACGTTAAACATTTTCCTTCCACAGAAAATCATTATAAATAAAACCTGTAATGTAACTTAATGGACAAAGACAATGATATAAAAGAGCTGTAGACAGTTTATTCTATATGGAAAAACACTTAACGCAAAACTGTGCGTGTTGCATTTATTCTGGGCTCACCTGCTTGCCTGTATATTAGTTATGTAGGCTATATTTTAATAATCAAGAGCATTGAGTTTGGTCTTTATCATCTTAGTCCATTATGCCACATTTTGTGGTAAGAGGAAAATACTATATACATATTCATTATATTAATAAACTGTATATTGAATTTGATATTTTAATAGCATCTTACATTACACCACAGTGGCGATTGCAAGTGACATTGTAATTTAGTTTCTTTTGTCTCGTCTTCACCACCTGGCTACTGTTGTAAAATGTTGAGAGATTCAAACAAAAAGTAATCAATAAATAGAACAAAATAAAAAAGCCTGCAAGTGACGTCTCTAGCGGAAGTGCAAGTGTCTGAGAATGCAAGTCTGAGAATGCACATCATGTATTTAAGAAAAAATTAGTTTGACCCAAAACTCGAAAAGGAGGGTAAAAAAAATAAAATAAATAAATAATCATAATAATAATAATAATAATAATAATAATAATATATACATATATATATATATAAATATAAATTAAATAATAAAAAATAATACTGTAAAAAATTAGTCAGTAATATTTAAAGAATTATTTATAGAAATTAAGGTGATAAAATGTAATAAAAAATTATTCAAATGTAAGGTATAAAAGTAATAAATTAGTTATAGGAATTAATGAAAGAAATTAATACATTCGTTCAGCAAACATGCATGTAACTGATCAAAATTGACAGTAAAGACTTTTATAATGTTACAAATCATTTCTATTTAAAATAAATGCTGTTTTTTTTTACTTTCTATTCATCAAAGAATCCTGAAAAATGTATCATGATTTCCACAAAACATTTTGATCAAATAAATGCAGCATTGGGGACCAGAAGAACCATTAAAACCTTTGAACAGTACTGTTTTCAGTAGCAGTGAATCCAGACTCACCACCGGCGTGGGCTCCAGTTGAAATTCTGACACATGCTGTTCTGTGTTCTGAGGTTCTTCTGTGTAATGTGATGGTGGTGAACCCACTCTCACCATCTCAATCTGAAGAAAACCGTTCTGAGTCACATCGTCCCCCATCGGCAGAGAGCTGATAACCTCACCCATCGGCACTGGATTGCTGTTACACAGAGGTACTGATCCAAGCATATGAGGTGCTGCCGGCACACCTGACACGTTGTAGTATAATCCCTGTGAAACACAAATATCCCCTTTCAATGGCCACCAACACAAACCATACATAACTGGATGTAGCTAAATTGAACTTCCTCTGGAAAAACTGCCGACTGGCTGAAAAGGACCCCCCCCCCAATAATAAAAAGCATAAATACTTCAAATTTGGCAAGGCAACATGCACTCACCGTCCTCCCATACTTACAATGAGAAGCGCTTATCAATAAAAGAGAAGCTTTAAGCGTAACACTTTACAGGTTTCATTGGTTAACATTAGTTAACCTGAACTAACAATGAAAAATACTTGTAAAGCATTTATTTCTCTCAGTTCATAATAATGGCAACCTTTACATTATTAAAATCCAAAGTTTTTTTCTGTTAATGTTAATGAATGGACCTCAGCTAACATGAATTAACAATGAACAGTTATACTAACTAAGATGAACAAATCCTGTAACAAATGTTTTGCTCATTGTTAGTTAATATTAGTTAATGCATGAATTAACATTAACTAATTAACCGTATTGTAAAGCGTTACCGCTTTAAGGGCTCCCTGCAGTTCCTCGCTAAAATAAAATTGGTTTAATGTTTAAAAACAAACATTTTAAGACGACCATTAATAGTAGTATTGTAAAAACAGTTTGGCCAAATTGTGCAGCCCTACAAACAAGCACAGCAAACCTGGATGTGTGTTATATTTTTTGAAACATAACTGAAATTTTTATCAGAAAAATCACAACATTTCTTTCTTCCCAAATAATGCAGTCCTAATACGTAAAAAAACACCTGCCAAACGCATAAAATGTAAATACAAGTACTCATTCTGTTTCTTATTTTTAAATAAAAGTGTTTCTAGTTTGTTTATTTTAAGGCTTTTAACTCTTTATTCTAGATTTGTTAATGCCTATGAAACTAATTTCAGAACCAAGGCTAGAAAATGATGTAGAAAATCTTACCTGAGCACTTAGTCCAGAGGTGTTTGAGTACATCTCATTAGACACCATCACTGGCCTCTCACTGCCCAAAATATCAGGATCCTAGAAAAATAGTTAACAAAACACTCAGCAAGATAATATAACATTAAATACATTCATGAAAATTAATTCAAATTTCTGGATTGAATTACATGGTTGATGGTGACTTTGGTGTAATGCTGCAATCTCCTCATATTGAAATAACCATATTACTGACAACTCATAAAAACCATTAACTTCATTGTTAATCCCATATCCACAAGCTGGAAACAAGTTGTGAAATCAATGGCAGTTCTGACGTCTCTCACCGTTGTGATGCCATGTGACCAAAATGGGGGCAGTTTCAACACACATTTATATAATGGCATTTTATTATAGCCACAGTTCTATACCCTTACTTGTTCCTAAACAAGCAGTTAGTTGTGAATGAATGTAGTGAGAAAATTTACCGTCATCAACAACAAATTAGCACATGGGCCCATTTCGCTATCCCGTAGAAACGAATCATTTAGTTTAACAGCTCAAGAGCTGTGAGCTTGTAATTCTGGTAATTCCGTCTCGAGGTGAAAGCAACATAAAACTACACCGTTTTAATGACTGGTTGTGCAACATTTAAAAATCAGAAACCTCCTCTGTGATGGACAGTTCGTCATCATCAATCACGGCCTCAACGAACGCATCTTCTTCATCTTCCTTAAAAGTGTAATTCCATTTCCTCCTTCCTCCCTTCCTGCCATTCATCTTATAATGCCTCAAGTCGTCTTCATCATCATCCTTTACAGACACTTCGTCCTCATCCTCCCAGGGGTTGCTTCCGAATTTCCTTTTTCTTGGTCTCCCGCGTCTCTTGAGCTTGGGCTTCACATTTTTCCTTCTTCGTGGAAGGGATGGATTTAGCATTCCCTGCATGATACGAGAAAACAAGAAACATCTTGCCAAATGCATCTTGCATATGTGGTCAGGTGATAACCTTACTCTTGAGTGATGCCATTAGATGTTAATCACATAAATACATACATTTGCTCTTTGACCATGAAGCTTTGACTGAAACTTGCACTGACGTAAGCGACATTTCTGCCTTTTCTTGTTACTGCCACCAAACTTGGGCTTGTCCATGCAGAAGTCGCATTTGCCACAGTCGTCTTCACGAAGACACGCATCACACTGTCGGCACATCCTGCGATTGCGTTTCTTTGCAGCCTGAAATCAAGTGTAGACAGAGAAAATTTGTAACGATTGTTAGATGTGAGTAGACCTTAAAAACAAAGTGGTTTTATGAGTTCAGCAATAACCAGGAAATGTCCCAATTAATATGTTTTAACCATGTAAAGTCTGACATATTAAATCAGCTGATAATAGTCAGAAAATTAAATATTTTTGAAATGGAACAGTTTATTGAGCCTTTAGCCAAAAAATAAAATACAAAAATTATTTTTCAAGTATCAAAAGCTGATACATCAGGCTTTTATGGTTTTATATATCAATATGGAGCTCATAAAACAAAAATATGCAATTTGGTGCAATTGCTGATATTTATATGAAATTCTGGTAGCTTGGAATGTAAATCAAGGAGATCTTATAACAGTATAGCAGACTACTTACATAAAATGCATATAAATATCAGCTGTCGCTCTATATCTTGCAATAATATGTCATAGTTAGATTATATTTAGCCTAAATGCTTATTTTTATGATCAAAGTTCTATGTTTGCTGTGAGGGGAAACATAATCCAATACAATACAATGATGACTGAGAGACAAATAAACGTTCCTCAAAAGCTTGATGATCATATTTCATACTCACATTTTAACATGATTTTTCTTAGAAATTGATGTATGGTTAATCAAGTAAACCCAATTATTACTAATAACCTTACATCTAGTTTATTAAATTCTACAAAGATTTTCAGCAGATATCATAAAAGATATAAAAAAGTCTATCACAACTTGAAAATGGACATTTTTACAATTATACTAAAAGGCCCCTCACTTGCTAAAAAGGTATGAACTATCAATCAGATGACAGAAGAACACATGTGGAAGATTGTCTACAAGAGGTTAGAGGTTAGAGATTGTGATGCTGAACCACTCACCCAGTCATCCTCATCGTCATCACCATCAGGGACAAAATCCTAAAAAACACATACAACAAAAACCTGGATCAGTATTTTAAGCACTGAATATGTTGCAACAGTGGTGAAATGTGTAATGTCTGCACTATAAGCAGCACAAACTGAATCCGCCAGTCTCATAAATGGATAGTTATACACTGAACTGATTTACACTGTAAAGGCTTGAAGTATGCAATAGATGAGGGAAATAAAGGATTTAGCTACATAAAGCATGTACACTCACCGTTTTTACCCTTTTCTTGCATTTGGGATGTTGTTTCTGCAGGAGACAGAGTGACATTATGTTAATGGTGTGAAGTAGTTCAGCTACTGACAGATTATTTGATGATCTTTGGCAATGCTTTTGTGTATGCTGCAGTTTCATGTGTCAGCCTAAAAATGTTATCAATGTGTCCATATTATGTTATATGATTATTATTACCAGCATTTGTTTTCTTGGATGTTTTGTTTTCCCAACCTCCCACTGATCCTGCCCCACCTTGAAAATAATAATAAAAAAATAAAAATAAAAATAAACATACAAAAGCATAAAAAATTATGCAAAGGAAATATGATAAACAGAAGTGTTATATTCAACAGAATTAGAAATAAAGGGAAATAATGTTACTAGAAAATAATAATCAAGAAAATAAAAGAATGAGTAAAGAATGCTACCAAAGTAATCCAAGGATAATCTGGACTTTGTTACTAGCTACTTATGGTGAGCAAACAACTATTTTGGCTCATATATTGAGAGCAGAAAAAAGGTAAACTAGGTTGTTTTAGCTCATATATTATAACGCAAAAGTATCGCCAAAGCCTTGTACCTCTCATACAGCTAACATGAACACAGACAAAGCAATACTGCTTCACTTCCACTTCACAACACCAAAAAAATTAAAAAAAATATTTCAACCTCCTATGTCCATTAACAAAAAACAATATAGCATTGAGACATAGGAAAAAGCATCCTCTTTACATAGGAAATACATAAAAATGATACAAATTTGCTAAATATATTTAAAATATATATATTTTTATTAAAATATGAAACATATTTAAATATTACAATTTAAATGATTAAAATATAAGACATATTTAGTATATGCATATATAAAACGTATGCATATACTAAATATTACAATTTAAATGATTAAAATATAAGACATATTTAGTATATGCATATATAAAACGTATGCATATACTAAACTGTAAAAAACTAAATTGGGATATTTAAAGAAACAATACTACTATATCAAAAACAGAAAATGTGTACTGCATTTATTACATGTGTGACACAAAACAATTTTGTCAACACTGTCATCTGTCAACACAGGGTGTCAGATGTTGCATTTCTCCAACAGATGGACCTAAAAATCCGTTTAAAACGGTCATATACTTTCAATTGATTCATCTTTCAAAAGTCAAGTGTCAGTATACAGTATATGATACATTTTAGACATGACAGAACACATTATTTTTATCTGTTGGTGACGTTCAAAGATGGAAAAAAAAACAGAGGAAGCAGGATCAAAACATGTTTAACAGATGAATCCAAAATTATGTTTGGCACATGAACTTCCCGTTTTATCCCAGCCTTAAGAATCAGTGACAGAATGTAAGGAAAAGCAGGCCTGACAGCTCTTGCGATGACTATTTAATGCTACATACCTTCCTAAACACAATATTTGGAGGAGAGTGCTTCTTCTCTGCTGCAGAAACGAGAAATCAAGACAACACAAATCACACAAACATCAAACTTATCCTCTGCTGTTTGCTGAAATGAGGAGTGTAATTACAAATTCCCATACGTTTAGTCCTGTAGCATCTGTAGCACAATGTGTCTCCGATCTTCTGAGCAGAAAATGGGCCGCCACAGCTTTCACATTTACTAAAGAAAGACAAACAACTTTGATTTTATGAAGGTAAATTTAAGACTTTTTGAGACCTTTTTTTAGACCAAGAAAATACATTTTAAAGAATAAATTGAAGGGAGTATATGTCAACAAGTTCTCTAAAAATAAATATCAAGGGTCCACAAAATGAGTTGTATTCACAACTCCTCAAAGTTTGAAAACACTACTTTAACCAGATATTCACTGCCAGTGTTGGGGGTTACACATTACAAGTAATCAGATCACTTTAAGTAACTAGTTAAGTAAAGCATTACTTTTAAATGTACAAGAAAATATGTAGAGTTACTTTTTCAAATAAGTAACGCAGATTACTTTGTTTTATTCACTGACACTTCTCCTGTCCCTGCGTTGAGAGAAATTATGACTAGACATTCCATCAGCTGGAGACCTCACTCTTGGTGTCAAAGGGCCTTTACAGTTGTCATTATTATTAAAAATAAACAAGAAAGCAACAGCCCAGGTGAGAAAAAGTAATGCAAAAGTAACAATGCATTACTTTCCATAAAAAGTAACTATGTAACGCAATTAGTTACGCAATATTGTAATGAGTTACTTTTAAAAGTAACTTTCCCCAATACTGTTCATTATTTAATTAATTTTTCAAAAACAACTGCTTATTAACACTTGCAGAATATCTCTCCTCCCAACCTAGAACCTATACCCTAAAATAAGGAAATAATTTTAATGCACCATCTGATCAAACTGCAACAAAATAAAAATAAAAGATTTTCTACCTCAGTATTTTTGTCTTATTTTCCAGTGTAAATGTCTGATCAAAATTGAGTTTAAGATTAAAACAAGAATAAATACCAGCCAATGGGCTCAGAAAAATCAACTTAATTCAAGGGGAAAACAAGTTGTTGTTAATTTTGCTTCTCAGAAAACAAGACATACTTTCTTTAATTTGCATCCCAAGTAAATGTATCTTCATTTAAGGATGTTTAGATATTTATATTGGAAAACAAGACAAAATAAGGAGAAAGATATTAGGGTAAATCCGTGTATCATTCGATCATTCGTTTTTTGATTTAATATTGAAAGTAGAAAAATTAGAAAACGGCTCCTTTTTCGTTTTGTAGTTTTTTTCCAAAAAACGAAAATTCAGCTTAAATTTTTGTTTTTCGTTCATGGGTGGAAAAATTTATAAATAGCTTGAATATTCGATTTCTAAATGTGGGAGGGCATTAAACGCCCCTTTCTGCTGATTGGTCAGCCGAAGATCAAACCATACCATCATCAGTTCTTCCGCAGTATCACGCAGCAGAATAATAGTCCTCCACTGCTGCAGTTGTACGGATAACCCATTTTATAAATTTCATATTTTTCTCATCAAACAGACTAATGAATAGCTCGACACACTCGTACAGCAGCAGAGTCTAGACAGGGCTTTCTTCTGTGTAGACCAGCGGTTCTTAAAGTGATAGGGGGTCCGAGAAATAATTTGCTATAACCTAAAGTATTTCCAGACTGTAAAGTTGCTTTTTTTTATCATGATACATCGGCCTACTGTGATTTATTCCAAAGTGACTTATATGATGCATTTAACGTCAAATAATCTAAATGAAGCCTTTTAAAAGACAAGTATTCGCTGTGGTTCATGTTTGTGGCATGCGCCACAAAGATGCTCAAGGAGACCGAGACGCGCTAAAGCAGCGCATTCTGTTGTTCTCTTTATTTTTCAAAGGCATGACATTTTGTAGTTATTTTGAAAGTAACATTACACAATTAAAAAAATATACAGAGTATTAAGTTATTTCCCCTTGATGGGGAAAAAAATCCACGTGAACGTCAATCAGTACTCAATATTAATTTAAACTGCTTTAAATATGACTGCTGCTTATTTCCTGTGCACTTCTGCGCTTGACTGTAGTCGCGTCTGTCTGCTTATTGAGTTTATTTAACCCATCGCAATTTATTGGAACTGTGTGAACTAGAGTGACTACTCACCTTAATGTTGTTCTAAAGGCTTATTACTTAATAACACAAAAATGTCCTGCTCGCACTTGCCAATTTAATGTTAGAGAATGGTGACTTTAGGTTTTGTTTTTTGTTTTTATGCGGATGCATATCTGTCGTAAAATAATCATATGCATCTCGTGGCGTATAAGGTATACTGAGGGTGTGGTGAGAAACAAACCGAAATGGCAAGTTATTATATTTTATGAAAATCTTGCGTTGCAGTGCGAGTGCGCAGCAGCTCACGCCGCGCACAAGTGCATATCGTTTTGAGATATCAATAATAATCAATTTTAATAAAACACAAGACTACATTATAAAACTCTAACAGTAGGCTATTTAATATCTGTTGTTCTCCGGTTGTCAGTCA